AGCCGGTAATAACCGTGTGAGGGACTTGTGAAGCAAAGAATAGAACAGAGCTTCAAACCAGTGTCTCTTTTGGAGAAGAGATCCAAAAGGAAATGGACCTAAAAGGTTCGGATCACTAGGGGGGTCCCCGTCACTTGCAGACGTTCAGATACACAGCAATTGCTTTATGGAAAACCCCATAAGCAGGTGTACCTATGACCTGCAGCCTGAAATGCCCTCCTGTAAGGGCAAGGATTCCTGCGGTAGCTCTGATTTGCTTCGTCGCGTGGATGCGGTCGAGCTTTGTTTCTGTAAATGCACGTGCAATACATGAAGACCGCCAGTGGCCTGATTTCTCTGCCCTGTATGTCTGTGTACCTGCTGCTTCCTTCGGAAGCTGACTTGTAGGTGTAGGGGCACAGCGTTTTTGAAAACCGGCCCCTGTGTTTTGCAAATGGGCTTTGATCTCGAATTTCTTGAAGCCATTCGTGTATGAAGAATGTGGTGAGAAACTGCTGTTCTTTGTACTCTTTCTGCTTCCCTCTTCCCCTTTTGCCATTCTTATGCCATTTTACTGCATGTCTTGCAGTCCTGGTCTCTGCGTGCAAAGGTGGGGGTGCGGAAGCCAAGTAGCAGCAAAAGGCTTAATAAAATGATAAATCCAGATAAATTCAGGTTCGGGTGTCATTTTTACACCCTTTCTGAATCAAATGCGGAACGAATACCTGAGAGCAGTTAAATTCTTAATTTTGTTATGATTTCCTGGGTGCTCTCCTGGCTACAAGCAAAAACTGGGCTTAGTAAACAGTTGTTTGGAAGGAATGTTATGGTCTGTTTTAATTGAGGCGGTTGGATCAGATGATGTAATAGACTTTTAGGAAGTAAAACTTTTGCACCCTCTCTTAAATGGATGTGGATTGTCAAGTCTTGCTTCTCTTGTGGCAAAGTCATTTGCTCTAGATTCTTGTATAAGATTGTTATACACAGCGATTAAATCAATACTTGTTTTCTCTGGAGAGAAGCATGCTGCTTTTACTAGTAGAAAAATTGTCATGCTTTAATCTGCAGTCAGTGGGAGTTTAATAATAAAGTAACCAAATTAGTAGGTGTATTTTCAGGCAAAATAACTTACTTTGAACAGCTTCCATCTGTGGTGGTGTCAGCTGAAGTTCGCAGGAGTTTAAGAAAATGGGGAAGAGGACACAAGGATGTAATTTTCCTGCAGCTTGCATAAGCCCTGTTACATCAGTGTCTATGACAGCTTCTCCACAAACGCTTCCATCTTCTTCCTTGCATGCAGTTCCACCTGACTTATTCAGCTCTCATTGCTTCATTTGGAAGATGCTCCAGGACGTAGTTATGTTAAGTCCTAACGTGTTGATGTTGCAGTCCTGTACTAGAAAGCATTAACTTTTTACATGACTTTAGATCCTAAATTTTTGTTTCCTTTGAGCTCTTGGGATGGTTTAGCTATGTTCTGTGTTGCATAGACTGTAGTTTTACTGGCCAGTTGGCCCTGGTTGCTTGTAAGAACAGTAGCAGGATGTACGTGTCCTAGCAAGGATGCTCTGGGAGCGACTTTATTAGTCAGCACTGGGGCAAGGAGCTAGATTAGAGGAAAGGCACCTTAAGGAGAACTTTGCTAATGCGACATTAGCAGTTGGCCTGAAGAGGTGCCAGTCCTGCTTTAGCTGAAGCAAATGCTTAAAAGGAGAAGATGGACCTTGAATTTAGTGGATCTACGTTTTTAAAGTTTAATTGATCTATTTTTGCTGCTCAGCTCGTGTTTCTTTCAAGTATCCTTCTGGCCTTTGGGCCTGTGAGAAGAGAACTGAGCTCCTGGAGGGGAGGGAAGGTTTCTGATGGATTCCCTCAGACTTCCTTTTTTTTTTTTTTTTTTTTTAAAATGAGAAAGTCTTATGATGCCAAAAAAGTGTTGATAATGACTGTTGAGACTCTAACAAAAAATGATTTTTTTCATTTAACGCTTCCTCTAGAGTTACGTGTGTGGTCTATGGAAAGTTATATGTGAAAATTGGAAAAAAAGCCCAAACCTGATCTCCCCAATGGTTTTTAAAAAACAATGTTTTGAGAATGTAAGGATTGTGGAAGTCATGCCGGGTCCCTTATTGTTTAGTGACTCCATCAAAGACTATAAGAGGAAGAAAATCGTTAGAGTGCTCTCGTGCTTTCTTCAATATGGACATCCATTGGACTAAAGATAGCACAGGGTGAGGTGTATGTATGGTCTCCAGAACTGAACCGAGTGTGGCTAGGATGGAACAGTAAGGCTACCACTGTGGGTTTAGGAGTTTTTTAAAAATGGCTTATAATTTGAGATCCTCAAATTGAAACAGCATAAGGGGTGGTGGTGGGGGGGAGGGTTATTTTGGTGTCTCAATTTGAACACTCGGAAGAAATGAGGCCCTCCAGAACTACAAGGGTTTTATGCTGCTCAGTCCTGACAGAGAGCATTTTATGTATGGCTTGCTGTATCCCAGGGCCGTGTCCTGTTTTTCTGCATTATAACATCCTTTTTGCAGCCTGATTATAGTTTTAAGAACCTTAATTGAAATCTTCCTGCTATTTTCCCGCATGCTCCCTCATTTGCTGCATCTTTCTTGCAGTTTCTCTGGGCCTGCTACCCGTTAGCTCTGCCCTTAAAAGTCAATGCGGCTTCCTTGGAAAATCCTATAGGTCTAGCTGTTAGGAGGAACTATGATGTGTAAAACGAAGGACTTTGCATACTGAGAGTGTTTTTTCTCTTTTTAAATAGCTCCAGTGCTGACAATACTATTTGCATGTCTAACTTTTCTGTGGCTTTTTGGGAAATGGGCTATTACGGGTATGTTAAAAGCTGTCTGATAACAGAAATGAGGAGTGTTGTTCTTTGGACGTTGCAGAGCGTTGTCTGGTCACTTGCTCTTCTTCGGTCTTTTCTTGGTAAAAATAAATTTTTGTTTCAGTAATAGCTTCACTGGGCCGTATGTGTGTATTCTTGGATTTGTGAACAGCTTGTAAGCACCAGATATTGCAAGACAGGCAATTGTCAAATGCAATCTATTTTAACGCTAAACTTTACCCGATGTGTGGCTGTTTTGCTTGTCGCTTTTCACACGATGAGGGGGGAAAAAAACAGTTGGGTGCCAGATAACCATTAGTAATAATTATATGTAAATGTGTCAAGCATAACCATGTATATCTTCCTGCCTTGGTGGTTTCTGGCAGCTTGTGAAAAAGAACACAGTGAGAATCACTAAAGGGCTCAAACCTCTTCTATGCGAGCTCTTTGGGATGTGACTAGCTTTCTGTGGTGTGTAGTAACTACGGTTCTTTGCGTGCTGGAACTCCTGAATGCTGCAGCAGCACCAAATAATAACTTACTGCTGGGCTAATTATTTAGAAATCCTCATGCATGAAAGAAATATTTGCTTTAACTTCAGGTAACAGTGAATGAATGAACTGCTGTTAGGTTATAGCACTGAAAAGTGTTATCGTGCTTCCCTTTTTACCCTTGTGCATCACTTCTTGGCTACTTGGATACGTGTGACTCTTTTTTGGTCTGTTTCCTTTTGATCGCTGAGAGCCAGGTGCTAAACTTTGAAGCCTGTGTGCCTCCATCCTCAATCTGCTGCTTATTTCTGTCCAGGACTACAAATGAAAAATCCTTTTATTTTGATGCATTGCTAACAGAGATGAAAGGCTTTGATGCTAAACAAGTCGGGTATGTCTTGGTAATCTTGACTAATAGCAATGGCTGCAAATGGATTGTGGGGGTGCGTGTGTGTGTGTCGGTTTGTTTTTCCTGCTAACATCAAACCACGTATAGGAAATAGGGTTCTACTGCTTCTTGCACCAATCAGCTTTGTAATGTAACTTAGAGATGCTTCAAAAGTTGAGAAGCCTTTTAAGTTCAGGCCTTTAGTAATTCTGTAGAAGTCTTGTAGCTCGGGTTTTCTGTCCAAGGCAACATTGTGATTACACTTCAGCTTTTGTCTTCGTAATGAAAAGTAATGGAACAGTGAAGGACTATGTGGTAGGACAAGTAACTGGTAATTGCTCGTTATTACTGAGATGGTAACTGTTAACTTTGCTTCCATTAATTGAAGATAGGCCCTTTTAGAGCTGTGGTTGGTTTTGATGGCTTTTTTTTTTTTTTAGTTTCCTGAAATAAATAACTGTTTAGGTAGAGATGTAAGCTGTGGCACTAGGCAGATCAAAGGGGCGCTCCTATCTTTCCTAGCTGCTGCATGTCCTCCTTCTGAATGTACTGTGAAGGTGGAGAACAGCAGGGACAAGGCTTGGAAGCGGGGACGGAGGGGTTTCTTTGTTACTAAATGAGGTGTTTTGTGTCTTCCCTAGGAGGTTTTGCAATAGTATTTCTTGTAAGGACTAACAATGGGATGAAATGTGCCCTGAAACGGATGTACGTCAATAATGAGTACGACTTGCAAGTCTGCAAAAGAGAAATCCAAATCATGGTAAGTCACCACTTTGCATTGGGGTCCCAGCCTGGGAATGGAATGGCCTGAGAGCCCTATCTCCTTCTGGCTTTGATTTGTTTAGTGTTGTAACCTCTGTGGGTTTTCTTAACGTTGTCATTATTTTCGGAAAGACCTAGCTTCTGAAGTTATGTGACTATGTGAAAATCTTGGGCTGAATTATTTAAAATTGAAAAACTTTGGTCAAGAAAAACACAAACTGAACAAGGAGAAGGAATCTCAGAAAAGTTAGGAGGGCAAAAAAGCCTGCGTTTCATCCCCATGACTTAACGGGAATGGGAAGAGCTGCAGTGGTGAGTGTGACTGGAGGGTGTTTCTCGTTTGGACTTCCCCCGGAGAAGGCTGCTGATGGTGATTTGGCCATCTCTGGACTCAAGCCGTATGCAAATGGAAGACCTTTGAGCTCAGATGAATGTATAGCACAGCAACTTCTAGCTTTTTTTGGTTGAGATGAAGGCTGTCTGAATATTGGTGAGGTAGACAAATAAAATGTTATTTGTGGGGTAGTTACTGCCTGGGCTTTTTAAACTGGGAAAGGGTTATAATAACCAGTGGGACCTTTTTCTAGATTATTAGATGCAAGGAGTTGTACGATAGGATAGCTGTTTTGAGTAGCTATTTTAAGTTTAGAGCACATCTCTCAACAGAGAAAGGATCAGGATCATCTAAAGAGAGTTGCCTGGTCGTGGTTGGAACCTAATAAACATGGACGTTTCTATTTTTGAAATTGCGTTCAAAGATCGTGATGAACTTTTAGTGATTGCGAGGTGGGGAAGAAATGGCAGAATCCTCATTCCGCTAATTTATAGCGTAAGGTATTGGTTTGAGATAGATGATCTTCATGTCAGAAACCTTTACCTGTAGCAATTGTGTGTGTTTTATGAAGTAGCTTTTAAGTTAGGTCAGTACCTTTTAAAGATACCTTCTGGAGTTTGTGCGATAGTTCAGTAAAGCTTTTGGGCATGCCTCTTCATCACCATAGCTAATGCTACATGGAGAAAGTTGAGATTAGATCTTACATCAAAGTTTTTTAGCTATGCTAAAACCTTAGCAAAGGTTATTTATGGGTTTTTTTATTTGCCAGTGCTTTCCGTTATCTCCATGTCTTTGGTGTCTCTTTAGAATGTGTGGCTAACCTGGAAAGTGGTGGTGAGACAGATACAGTCTTACTCAGCTGGTCTGCTCACTCCTGTACTGAATCATATCTTAAGTGCTAATCTTTGTCCTGAAGAAGGAGTACAACACTTCAAGGAAAGAAGCAAAGCTTTCCTTTATTTTATGTAGTAAAGGAGTATTTAGAACCTAACTGTAATGCTGTACAGTCGCAAAAAGCGCAGCAGAGAGCAAAACTTGTCCGGTAGAATTGTGATTTCTTTAACTGCTGAGGCTGAACATAGAACAGAGGAACCGGACTGGCTATTGCTCCTGCGAGTATGTGTAAATCTGGGAGTCGCAGCTTTTATACTTAATATATATTTATCTTACAGCGAGATCTGTCTGGCCACAAGAATATTGTTGGATACATTGATTCCAGTATAAACTCAGTAAGCAGCGGTGACGTGTGGGAAGTGCTGATATTAATGGACTTCTGCCGAGGTGAGTGTGGGCTCAGCGTGTTGTTGGTTGGTAGATTTGTCCCTCTTCAGCCCTTACAGGAAACTTGCATAACTTTTTCCTTAGGAAAACTATGCATAGGCCTGGCCCTTCCTTGAATACCGATAAACCGTTCTGAACAAAGTGCAGCCAAAACTAAAGATGGAGAAGTGGATGGTATGTGTGTCTATGTTGACCCTGTTGATAGGACTGCTACCACCTTTGCCCCTGTCCAGGATTTTCCTAGATCCCTCCTGCTGTGAGAGAGAACCCTTAAATACATGCTTGTATTCTTCATAGGCTGGTTCACATAAAACAGTTGCTCTTCTAAAGCTGTCAGGTTGCAGAATAAAATTCTCTGCTGTATGCTGTATTGCAAGCTTTTTCCATTTCAGCCTGACTTGGGATTATTCTGGAAGTCTGAAAAGGATAATGTGAAGCCAATGTGTATGCCTTCTATCTCTGCCCTTTTTGCTCAGGTGTGTCTCGCCAGGCAGGCCCTTCCAGTTTTTTCCAGCCGTTTCAAAGAGCAGTTTGCTCTGTTGTGGCTGGGATGTGGTGTTTGGAAAATGACGCATATACTGTGCTCGAATGCCCGTTGCAGGAATAGAGCGTTAAGCAAAGAAGAATGTTTTGGCCAGGTGACCTCAGAAGTTTGTGGCCATTTAGGATGGTGGCAGCTGATGGAAATAGGTATTCTTGGGACTGTTCAGCTTTTAGCTGAAGCCAGGTGCGTTGTAACAAGGACAACCCGATTCTAAAACGTCTTTAGACGTGTATAGCCTGTCCTTCTGTCCTGCCATCATCTCCTCACTTCTTTGTTTTGATGCGGGCATCCCAACTAGCTTGGGATGGGATTGTTTTCTGATACAAAGAACCACCTTATGAGTAGTTTTTTTTGAGGGAATCATTGCATAAGTTCCCTGTAAGCTTAATCCAGAAAGTCACAAGGAGTGTTGTAAGGAAAAGACCAGTCAGCACTAAATCCGCACTCGGCTCCAAGGTGGTATTTCTTATGGGACTTGCTGTTGCCAGACGTTCTGCTTGGCACACACCTCCTTCTGTCTCCCGCAATCAAACGGAAGCATAGGAACTACTACTATATGTTGAATTTTTTCTTGTTACTCTCTTCCTCTTGTGACAAACATAGTTTCTAACCCATATCGGTTCCTTTTTATGTGCAGAATTGTACTCATTAAGAGTGCAAAGTGTTCACAGCTGCACTATTGGGCTCAGTTTTTCTTTCATTTCATGTTACAAAAATTCTGAAGTTTTCCATCACTTCTGGTTTTGAGTGAGGCTGTTTTGCTTTGCCAAAGGTTCAGAAATGAGTGTTTTCCTCTATGTATCTGTTGAGTTTTGAGGTGGAAGATCCTGTGTGGAAATTGTCTGAAAAGGCCTTTACAGCAATAAAACCTCAAGGCTGAGGCAAATTCACTACTTGCTTGTGAAAACTTGCCTTTGTTTGTCTGGGGATTCCCCTCACACGTGCCAGTCTGACTTTAGCTGAACCGTTTAGTGGTGTATGGGGGGTGTGTGTGTTTTTGAGTGCCCTCCCCTTTGCTTACGTGTGGCAGACTTTTGTGGACTATGGCTATGCCACATTCTGTCTTTCACTTCTCTGCTCTGACAGAAGCTTTTTATTGTAGCGAGAAAGGAAAAGGTGTGGCTTAGAGATACATTTGGGCACTAACAGAGCCAGGTGAATGAGGGCCTTGGAAGCTAAGTTGCTGTTCTCAAAGCATTGCTCAAAGACGAGATCAGATGTAACGCCTGTTGGCAAATAGGCAAAATCTCCTCAGAATTAGGCCAGGAGAGAGGTTGCCAGAAGCCTCAGGGAAGGGCTTGGTGAGAGTTTTGAATTTGAACTCATGACCTTCTTGTGCTCTGACTGTACAGCCACAGTTTCATGGAGAGCAGATTAAGACTAGGTGCCTAAGGCAGGGTTAGGGCTTGGACCAGCACAGAATTCACCTTGCACGCCTGTTTTGTTGGTGTCTGTTTCTCCTCAGGAGGTCAAGTGGTGAACCTCATGAACCAACGCTTGCAAACGGGGTTCACAGAGAATGAGGTCCTGCAGATCTTCTGTGACACCTGTGAAGCGGTAGCGAGATTGCATCAGTGTAAGACGCCAATAATCCACAGGGATTTGAAGGTGAGTTGTGGACCACGGTAGTGTGGGAGGAAACGTGCGCTCCATGTGTGTGTTTGCTGCCTGTGTAATGGCAGACAGGCTTTGAATGCTCAGTGTGGGTTTTTGTTGTTAATAATGAGGAAAACTGGACATAAATACGTCTCCTTACTGGAAGATAAAAAAGGAATGAGCCTCTCGTTGCTGCTTACCATATGTTTAACCATCTATTACTCTACTTAAAAAAAAAAAAGAACGTTTGTGAATAATTGTTTTGCACAGACAATGTGCCAGAATGTATCTGTTAAATTATTCACAGTCAATTCTTACCACCTGAAGCCCTATCAATGTTATAAGGTAGTTCAGAGAGAGTGCTGTTAATCTGTTGTGTGGATTCACATTAGAAAGACCCCTCCAGAGATGTTGGCCTTGGGGCAGGAGTTGTTAGGTGTTTTCAGAACCGGCCGTTAACTCTGACGGTTAAAGTGCGTTGGAAAACTCGATGCGCTTAGCGGGGAAGAGAGCTAGGCCAGCAGGGAGAGCTTTGAAGAAGTCCCACCCCTATAGTCAAACAAATGGAAAAACATTCTCTTTGCCTCTCACCCAGCTCACAAAATGCCTGTATAATGCATTCAGTTGGATACATTTGAAATTCAAATTTGCTTTGTGGATCAGGCTCTGTTTTTGGAGCCCCGAACAGATGTTTGTTTGGTGCCACTGGCCATTGTTTTATAGGAACAAAATCGGGCATGTGCGCTAAGAGCAGCCAGGTAACGCAGGGGGAAAATTCCTCACGGTTTGGTATGCTTTAGGATATACCAAATGCTGATGACCCGCTGCTCAGTCAGTTTGAACATATGAAACAAGTCTCAAATCTGTTGTTGCAGAACGCTGTAAAATAATGCTTTTAAATCTGAGGCCTGGATTCAAAGCTGTCCAGGTGTGTGGACATTGTCCAGTAGTCTGTGTAGGCAAGGGAAACTGGGGCAAGGAGATGAGCTAGAGGGGCAGGAGCTTCTTCCGTCGATAGGAACCCCTGCTGTTACCTTCTTGCCTTGCAAATCCCCGTTTTCTTTATGAAGAACAAACTCATTGTGTGGCATGTGAATAAATTCTGGGACATCTGTGATGGATTAGTGAGTTAGTCTTCTCTACATTGAGAACGAATTAAAATGGACTGTTATGGTCTGATATCCAGTCCACTATTGCATGCTTAGATTGGCAAAGTTTGTAAGGCCTCGCTCTTGGTTGTTAAAGTTGTGCCAAAGGCTGGAAGAAACAGTCATCTCCTGTCTGCTTTGAGACAGGTTTTCAAGTTAAATATTGTATTATTTCTGTCATGATAACCACTGGAGTGCCTGTCGGAATTCATGGATCGAGGTACTAACACAAATCATTGATTTAGATATGTATTGACTTTATTTTAGCTTAAATTTAATGTCGAGGGCAGGGGGTGAGTTGCAATTCAGCACAATTCCAAGAGCAATAAAGGGCCACGAAGTTTTGTGGAAGTTATTGAGTTTAGGAAAAGACATTTTTACCCCAACAGGCTACTTACCAATAGATAAGTCTTGAACAGTGGACAGATGTTGACTTTGCAGACAGCTGCATGGGGCTCAGGCTTTTTTGCCTTCCAGCTCTTTGATGTTGCTCTAACACTGGAGGTTCTTGCCCCGGGAGCTCTGCCAGCAGAAGGGATCCTGTTTTAATCCCTTTCAGAGAACTGCAGCTGGGTTAGCTTCAGTGGCCTGTGATTTGAGTTAACCCACAGGCTTTGCCTGGAGCAGAATGTCCTCCTGTTGGCACAATCTCCAACTAGTGTAAAGTGACCAACAGCTGGGGACAGCAGCACCTTTAACCAGTGTGCCTGGAGGCAAAAGAGAACATGTCACTGCAATAAAAGCCGTGAAAAAGATGGAACTTGGTCCCTGCATTCATTTGTTAAGGCTTTCCTTCCTGACTTCATGGTACGCCCTCAGGTAGTATGTCAGTCTGTTCTTGAGCACTTACAGCTGTATGATGCGTTGTACCGAAGCTGCCGTTTAGTTTCATGTACTTTGACACACTGAGCTGCGGCTTTCCCATCTCTCATGTTTTTTCAAAGCACCAGCTCAGAGCTATGGAAGTCAAGGTTGGCTCTAAGCTTTCTGCAGTGAGAGGTCTCCTGCTTCTACCTGTGGTGCTTCAGGAGTCTGAACCCATCTGGTTGCAGGAGCAGATGACCGATCACAGAGGATCGGCTGGTTTCTCTTGTAGCAGAAGCACAGTGAGATGCAGCAAAATGCCACATGAATCAACACAAACGATATTGATCACAAGACCCTTCTTTCTTTTCCTGAGCTGCTGGAATGACCAAAATATTGCTTTCTGATGTTGAGGATTTTTTTTTTTTCCTCATTTCATTTCATCCGGAATCCTACCAGGGTTGTATCTCTCTGTGGGGCGATAACGCAGTCACGCTGTGCTGCTGTTATCTCTGTGCCTTCTCCCGTCACCCTCCTTTGTAACACCTAGTCTTGCATCTGCTCCAGCAGACGTTTTTCTCAATTTATTTGGATGGCTCTGTGTTCAGAGTGATATGTAAAACTGTTCATTGCTCCAATGCTAAACCATTATATCAGCTGCGTTAAAAATCTGCGCATGCCAAAATTGGTGCTCGGATGTGTCGCAGAGGCATTCAGTTCTTTGCTATGAAATACTAACTAAGCTTTCAGAAGGAAATAGTGAGCGGTTTCAGGGAGGAAGGGAAGCTGAAACGTCTTTAGAGACCTGAAAAACTGCCAAGTAGTCCAAGTTGGTCATGCAGATGCGCGCGCACACACCCACCCTGCTCCCCAAATCGCTACTTGCGCTTAAAAATACAAGCCTTCAAAGATCTTGCTGTCACAAGATAATGTGTGTTGATTTTGCCAATTAAAGGAAACTGTATTCCCCCTCCCCGCCAATCTGTTTTTGCGGTGTTTTTTTTACCACTTGCTGTTTTAGCAAAGAACAGCATTTGTTTTAGAGATTAGAGGCAGAAGTTAACTACATCCTTTAAATAAAAAAACTTAAGGTAACTCATAGCTTCCTTTTAATATATATTTGTTTAGAGTCTGAATCAAATTTCAGTGTTGGGCATGTGCAGGACTGCAGCTGTTGTGAGTGCTCAGCAGTACTTAGTCGGACTGCTGCCCTCTGGATATTCGACTGAAAGAAGGTACCTCCGTCCTGTTTTTAAAAGATGGATACTTCTGGCCCAGCAATTGGTAGCAGTAATTCATGTACTCTGTGTGTGTGGGTTTTTTTGTTTTGTTTTTGTTTTTAATTCTCTTCCCCCCCCCCTTTTTTTTTCCTGGAAATTATTGAACAAGCCTGCTTACTGGATAGCCCAGTGCTTATTTTTAGTAAAACTTGCAAGATGTTTCAGTGAAAAGTCACGTCCGACTTCTCAAGTAGATAAGGTGGAAGGATTCTTCTGGAAATGTTTACAGAGTATTTGCAGGGAATAGGGAATAAGGCTGTTGGTGTCGATTTATGAGGAAGAACATCTGTGTGCAATGCTTTATTCAAAGCAGATGGATGGCAGTGGGGAAGGGGGGTGTTTAACCCTTGGTTTCAAGCCAGCCTTTCCCCTCTCAGCTGCTGCTCTTTGGCTGACTCCTTCATTTTCTTTCCCTTTTGTGAGATGGTCCTTGATGGGGAGGTCTATTCCCAAAAAATTTTGTTAGCTAATATTCATGTGGTGGTTTTTGAAATGTAGAAGCGGTATGTTTTATCTCGTTGTTGTATCTGAGCATTTGACATTGACTGAGGATAAATGCATTGAGAGTTGTGTACGTTCCCTTGAGAGAACGTGCCGTCAATGCCATTGTACGGATGAGGAAGTGGAATACCGGGATGCATTGCCAAAGCGAAGAACTGATCCCAGGGTTTTCTAGTCTTCAGTCAAGTCAGTATCGTAACCTCTGGACAGCTTTTTTAAGTGGGTGCAAGCTGGATTTGTATTAATACATGATTAAGCGTGGTTGTGTAGGGGAAAGGCTGTAACTGCCGATTTTCAGCACCTTGGGCGTTTGTTTCAGCGTCCAGTTGTGTGATTCAAGCTGCAAATAATATTTGAAGGGAAGGGTTTATCTTGTCTTCCAGCAAACTGGAAGAACCTCTGCTCATAGAATCATTGTTTAGGGAATATGGGGTAGCCAGCATGTTTTGATAACTAACAGCTGCAATGTGAGCATAACCCTAGGTTTGCTTTGAATAAATCCTAAATGGCAGGTGAACTGTAGGCCAAGAACTGGAGGTGTACTGTAATTTCTGAAGAGCGCGTGTGTTGTCATCTACTTTATTCCTCTCTGCCCCACTAGATAGTGAGGGGGTACAGCCCTTCCTAAAGTTGTGGACCCTTTATAGGCAGCTTGCATCAGCTATCTGAAATTTAGGCATTTGAGATGCTGAGAGACAGTCCTTGTCTGGAAGCGCGTGTTAGCCTTTATAGAGGCAAGGTGATCCCTTTGCCAAAGGAGAAAGAAGGGGAAGCAGAAAGAATAGGTGGCAGAGTGGAAGATAAAGTTACAACCGCGTTTCTGTGATGTGACCTCTATTTTAAGAGGCATTTCAGAGTTTTGATGCATATTTTCTCTTTGCAGCCATGTTATGCTTACTTCAGACATGTCTGATGTATGTCTTCAGGCATGAAGAGCCCAGGGTCATCGAAAGAAAACAAATATTTAAATATAAATTTGTCTAATGGAGAGATTTTGTTTGTCTCTGATACTCGTAGGTGGAAAATATCCTGCTGCATGACCGTGGCCACTATGTCCTATGTGACTTTGGAAGTGCTACTAACAAATTCCAGAACCCTCAAACAGAAGGGGTGAACGCAGTAGAAGAGGAGATCAAAAAGTAAGCGTGCTCTTTCTTTTCCACTTGGATATAGTTTGCGCTTGGAGGGTACTTTTTTCCTCATACTGGCACTGAATTTTGCTCATGCCGATTGTAGCAGATTGGGTGCCTCAGCATAGAGGTATATCTGGTGGAGGTAAATGAGGGCCTGGGGGAAGGAGAAATAATACACTGAGCTTGATGTAATCGCTTTGGACCTGGAAGACTGATTGTGCTAATACAGAGAAGTTGCCCACCTGGGTGAGATAGTGACATTCTTTGTTACGTATGGGGTCAGTCCGTCTCTGTCCCCCATCTATCCTGGTTTCTTTGAACTGCAAACACAGCAAATGACAAAATCTGTCTGCTCTGAGCCACTCATCGTAAACCCTTGCAGTGACTAAGGAAATGCATTGCCTAACTCGGAAGGGAGCCTCAACTGTCCATAGAAAATGGAAGGACATTGGGATGTTTAATCCATCTCCTTTTCTTGCCTCATGTGCAATCAACTCTAATGGTGACAGCAAGAATACCCTTGAAGCTTTAAATTAAAAAAAAAAAAAAAAAGAGGAACCTGGCTAGCAGTCCATAGAGCCTAGATCAGGGATGCAGCGGACTCCAGGTCCTTGCTGTTGCTATAGTTCTAACAGCATCACTGCTGCAAAGTATCCAGTTATGCTAACATCATACTCTGGCTGTGAAATCATGTTAGATGTTTGTGCAAAGGCCTCCTTTTTGTTAGGATTTAATAATAGCTGCATGGATTTCCTGGAGTTGTTTGACTTAAGTTTTGAGAGCTCTCCTAGTCTCACTGTGCAGTCTGTTGGAAATGCCCTATTTATAGGTTTGTTAACAAGCCTACAAAAACTTTACCTTTAGTAATGCTCTTTTGTGGTTAAGGCAAATAGTGCGCAAGGTGTCACAGCAAAAATTACAGAACTGTTGGTATGAAACCTTATTGTAAGAGTCTCTTAAACTGTGCCCCTGTCTCTAGCTTTTCTCTTTCTAGTGATTTGTTAAAACAAGGCAGATTCTAGTTACAATTTGAGTTGCAAAATAACCTTTGCCTTGTTTGCAATGACTATGAGCAGGAATCCTAGTATGGGAGCCTATTTATTAGGAGCCGCGTATCCGGTTACAATCTTGTAGGCTGGCCGACGTCCCAGCAGCGAGGACGTTGCGGAGGACACTTGTCTACCAACGTTGTTAATGTTCTGAATCCTTGAATATTTCTGTTTTGGTTCTTAAAACGATTGCACTGTTTTGTGAATAAACTTCTGGCTTTACAAAGGAACTTGGCTCTTGCTCTGGTTTCCCAGGACAGTTTTCAGGGGTTAGTATTTCCTGGTTAGACGTAGGCGGCAGAAGCTTTGTTAAATGATTTACTTACTTTTCAGTGGTTTAGCAATTGCCCTGAAATGAAGAGGGATGGGTGAATTTTGAATTAAACATGGCATATTGAAAGTGCATCTGATGTCCGTTTCCAACTCACTGATGGATCTCTTTGCTACAGGTACACTACACTATCCTACAGAGCACCAGAAATGGTCAACCTGTATAGTGGCAAACTTATTACTACAAAAGCAGACATATGGGTATGTATAAAACCCATTTAACACGGTAGAACCAGACTGCAGCTTGCTTTCGTTACCGTAATTATAGGGTAATGTCTGTCTGGAGCTAACCTGCTTTCAGTAAAAGGTTGGACTGTTTCTGAATGAAGAGTACCTCTGCTTGACGTTTCTGCTGAGTTACCACTAAACAGGGTGGCTTGTGGGAAGCAGCCTACAAAGAAGCAACCATGTTTCATCCACATATTTGGAATTTCATACATCTGTAAATTAAAGAGTTGAACAGTTTAAGCCTGATTTCATAGCTTGAGAGTTGAAACAGAAGGTTCAGGGTGTTGTGATTTCTTGTGCCAGGGTTGGTTTGTGAACGTGTGAAATCAAAGGTACTCTTTCAAGGAGAATGAAAAGCTGAGAAAAGACACCAGTCGCCCAGTAGCAATAGTATGTTTCTCCTGGACAGTGTAGACTTCAGAGTGTGTCTATATGGTGTCGAAACCTCGAGCTGGGAAATAAGGAGGTAGTAGCTGTATAAGGAGAGTTTTAATGCATCCTCAAAAGCACTGCATCTGCATATGCAAGAGGGAAAATTGCTGGCACGACATCTGGGAAGAGGCCTCTGTCTTCTCTGTGAGCTGAGCTAAGAGTCAGGAGCACAGCAGCTCCTGTAAGGCTCTTGCCTGGCTGAGTTCAGCGGGAGGCTTCCAGAACTGAGCCGTGTGCCAGTGTTGGGTCGCTTGCCCTGGTATTAGAGACCTGGAGAGGGAAGGTCACAGCTATAGCAGCGAGAAAAGATTGTCAGAGCCGCAAAGCCAACCGGAGGAGAACCCAGGATTTGTTCTTCCTGTGATGATGTGGAAAGGCAGAGACCCAAAGGCTCAGACTGCCCTCCCCTTCCTAGCATGGAAGGGATTGTGTTCTAGTGACCCACCGGGCGCTTCCAAATGAATGTGCAGTGTTGTAACCTCCCTTCCCTTAAATTTCATTGGAGTTATTTTAAACAAGAATGTAAGTGAATTGTGAAATCCTGTAACAAAAACTACAAGCTGATTGTGAGTTGCCTAGGACTAGGAAATGTTTCCCCTTCTCCCCTCTGGGAGGGCGGGGATTTTTCATAATTACCCCTTTGCGCAAAACTTGTCTTTTCTTTTGAAATAGCTGGTTCTTTGCTGTCAAAAGCAGCACAGAAATAGATGGAACCTCTGCAGACAGAGGACTCTGTTCTAAGATCCTCTCTCTCATTGCTTTACTTGATGCTCCCAGGTTGAGCTTGTTACAGATATAAACTGAGCCTCTCTGGCTGGTACATAGTCTTAAGGGTCAAAAAGTTCTTTCGACCAGTACAGTTTAAGTTTGGGCAACCGTTTGATTTTTGTCAGTATAAATGTATTTAAGATGTGTTGCACTTAATTTTGCTGTTATTTGGCTTTTTCCTACCTGTATGTGGAGAACAGAATAAGGTCTGTTGTAGTCCTACTTGTAGTAGCGTATCCCAACGTGAGGCTTGTGTGGGTTTGGGGATCTTATCTTATACTTGCTTCTTCCCTACCCTTACTACATCTCAGGCTTTGCCTGTTTAATTAGATGAAGGGTTACACTATTTACAGTGGTATGTGGAATGGTGGGGTGGGTGGGGTGTTTCTCAGCCAGGCTACAGCATCTCAGCTGAGTGCGGGAGAGCTCTTAGTGTATTTATTGTCAATATCCTTGTGCTCATCTTTCAGATGATCCCAGAGAGGTGAAAAGTTTGGCTCAGGATTATGCAGGACCCCGGTAGTAGAACAAGCCAAACTGCTTTCCCAGTTATCTACAATGATATTTGAGTTGTATGATTCCCTACTTTGCTCCTGTTTATTAAATCATCTGTTCTGTTCTCTCTCTTTAGGCCCTTGGCTGTTTGCTGTACAAGCTGTGTTACTTCACCTTGCCATTTGGGGAGAGTCAGGTAGCAATCTGTGATGGCAATTTCACCATTCCAGATAATTCTCGTCATTCGCAAGACATGCACTGCCTCATCCGTGAGTCTCTCTCTTATGTGACATAATTAACTTCTGCAGAACTTTTTTTTAAGAGATATATTTATTTATATGTTCCCTGTTCTTACTACAGAAGAATTACTGTTTTTCCTCTTCTAAGAGACTTGCTTGCACACAGAGATGGATAAAATGATCTTCCAGTAGCTTGGGTGATTGCTCTTCAAAAGACAGTTATGACAAAGTTTTCTATTTGGCTAGGCTGTAGTGAACTCCGTGTAAAGGCAGGGAAATAGACAACCATTTGGTTAAAAACTCTTACAGAAGCTTGCACAATAAGCCTATTTATACAGAAACGTATTTCTCCAGTAATCTGTTTGGATAAGGAACTGAAAAGAACCACAGTGACTTAGACTACCGATAAGAATTTATCTTCTGTGAATTGTGAAACAGATCTGAAGTGACTTATAAATAACCCACTGACTAGAGCGAATGAGTAATAAGGATACAATGCATTACTCTTGGCAAAGCTGGGTCAGCTTTCTTGCTTTCAGCACTGCATTTGATTTTTCTAGCTATAATCTTGACTACCACAGACTTGGATGTGTTTGCAAAGGAGCCTGATACTTTTCTTGCCTACGCCAAGGCGGTGGCCTATGTGGCTGTTCCAGCAGCAACGCCACACCGGGGGTTGGATCAAGCTCTTTTCCTGAAGGGTTCATTTGAAAATGCTGAGGTCAAAACCAAAGCTAGTCCCTGACTAAGCAGGCTGCTTTTCCTTCTCCTCGCTCTAGGGCCTCTGACAGTAGCTGTGAGTTGCGCACAGCTCTGTTGGGGAGTACCTTCCAGTCCATCCTGCCTGACCATCTTGCCCCCTTCTTAGCTGACTCCGAGAGTCAGATCAGCCCTGCTGACCACAGACTGGGTGCTCTGAAAGAGGCAAGGCACCCTGGTAGTGCCTGGTTATGCCAGCTGCATGGACCTGTCTGTTCTAATACTCTGATGTTAACGTTTCCCCCTCCCCCCCCCCTTTTTTTTTTAAGGGTATATGCTTGAGCCAGACCCTGATAAGAGACCTGATATTTACCAGGTCTCCTACTTTGCATTCAAATTGGCCAAGAGGGAGTGTCCTGTCCAAAATGTCCAGGTGAGTAGTGAAAAAGTGAACTGATGCAAGGCTTTGTGTGAGGAGGAGGCTGGGGATGGCTGAGTATTAAGGATATATTCAATCGGTGGTTCCCTAGTCCTGTAATTAGGAGGAGCGTGCCTGTAATTAGGAGGAGCGTGTGTGTTTTTTGGTAAATAGAAAGGCTTTTTGGTGGAGCAGGGGGAAAGGGAAGAAAATCAGGCTCTTGTTTCATGTGTTGCTTACTTCTGTCTGCCCCTGATTTACCTCCTCACCCAGTTATCAGTGTGAGGCCATCCAAGAGGCCTTGTGCGTGTGAACATGGAAAATCAAGCTATACTTGTGAAACTGATTTGATTTCTAGACCATTTCATCATAGCGTGTGTAATAGGCACTGCAGTTGGTTTTAAATGTAATGGTTTTATGCCTGCTGTCTAGCTGAGAATAGCCTATTTCCATTTGAACTACTACAGACCTTACACGACCATCTGCTCCTGCTTAGTGTGTCTTTATAGATTTCAGTTGAAAAGGAGAGTTGAGAATTTTTTTGTGGACATCTCAGTGACATGAAACTGTATTGTGTTACCTCTAGATAATGACTAAGAAGGAAGTTCAAGTGGTAATTTGTGCTTTTTATGAGCAAGACACTTTTGTTTCTATTATAATGCCTGTATTTTTTTACAGCAGTTCTAATAAATATTGCTGCTGTTGTCCATAGGCTATCTTGATAAAACACCCATGTCATGCTATAAAGCTTTGTGTTCAATTCCAGATGTAGTCAATGGTCAAAAAGCTGACCCCCCCCCCTCCTTTTTGTTTTCTTTTTTGCCTTGTAAAGACTCTCCCAAACCACTGTTTCTTCATGACATTAACATTGAGGGGTCTGTCCCGAATCCGGCATGATGATTAATAACTGCTTTGGGGATCCCACAATCTCCCATTTTCACTTAGGTGCTTCTACAAATTATTTCTGGCTCTGTTTTCTGCCTTCAAAATACTGAACTCGGTCGTTTTTGCAGAACTCTCCAATCCCCACTAAGCTTCCAGACCCCATCAAAGCAAGTGAAGCTGCAGCAAAGAAGACCCAACCAAAGGCCAGGTAAGCCTTCGTTATGCCCAGATCTCCTTTATTGTCTGTTGTCTGTCTGTTTTTTAATAGCAATGCTGCTTCCGTGTGAGGTTACACTTGCACATGGAGACAAACACTGCAGTCACGAGGCCTCTAGCTTCAAATCTGTAAATGTCCGTTGGTCCGAAACTCGGAAAATGCATTTATTAGAGAAAATTCATGTGTGTGCATGTGTGTGTGGAGGGGGGGGACTTGGGCGATGCTGAGCATGAGTCAACAGCTAGGCTTTGTGTATTGAAGACACTGTTTGACAGCAGCAGTTGAAGATCATGTGCTTAGATGAATATCCTGTGTCATCCATCCTAAGGCAGTACCCAGAGCAAAGTCAGGAGAAAGACTGCGGCTGGCCTGCAGCGGACTTGGAACTGGCCCAAAGAGCGCGAGTCTGCTGAGGAACCGCGTCAGGGACTATGCTATTTGAGTTTGACCCTCGGTATATGATAACCTGACCCAGTAATTACTGTATGCAATTGCTATGATTTCTGCAGGAGCCATATAATCCCTTCTGGGGTGGGGAGAGAAGCCCAAGCAGCCTCCATCTGAAGAGCCTGATCAGTGGAGAAACTGCTGTACTGCTGTGATGGTTCTCCTTTCTCTCATTCTGCTGCTATCTCTGCTTGTTATAGCATAGCTGAGATTTGTAAATTCTTTTGGACAAAGCTTGTATCTCATTTTACTGCAAAGTGAGTAGTACAGCAGTGGCTACTCCAAAATTAGCAGTTGTCTTCAGACTCTGAAATAGGGCATCTCTCCTTCTGTCTGCAACCCGGAAATCTGCTTTGTTTGTTTTTATAATTGAGAGCAGTTACCCTCATGTTAGTAGAACAACTGGATACCTAGCAAGCAAATGCATCGACGAAAGGGCAGGATGGTCCCTGGTTTCTTGGCTCTGTCACGTTATTGCAGGACAATAAATATCGAGAAGGGATCAGGGAAGGACAAACAACCTGATTCTGGGATTAGACATACTAAAGTTCAAGTACTTCTAAAGATGCCAATGTAAACAGTTCTGCTGAAAGGTACCAGCTGCTGTTAAGCTAGCTTATTGTATCTTTTATCTGCTCATCTAGCTCTGTAAGTGGATTGAAACAGTATGTTGTAGCAAATATTTGAATGAGGTGAGTGATTTTGACAAGTTCCAGCTGTCTGACAGGAGAAGATGCCGCAAATGGCAAAGAAATCAAAATGAATGAAAGAAGTCAAAATCGAATCGAATCTGATTGATTGGATGGGATTAATTGTGAATGCATCTGTTAAGTTTTATCTTGCTTGCGGTTTTATGGGAAGGATTGACTTGTATACCTGGGCACCTACACACCTTTCACCTTTTAGTCCCGTGCAGCTTAGGTACCTACGAGTTGTTAAACCCGTTCTGTAGACTGCTTGTACCAATTATCCTGCTAGCAAGTACTGTGCTCTTAGTGCTCCATGTTTTTTCTTCCTTTAACTCCTTACCTTCTTATGTAGGCTGACGGATCCTATTCCTACGACAGAAACTTCCATAGCACCCCGCCAGAGACCTAAAGCAGGACAGACACAACCCAACCCTGGAATTCTACCTATTCAGCCAGCCCTGACACCTAGGAAGAGGCCCACAGCCCAAGCAGCCATTCAGCCCCAAGGTGAGACTCTCTCCGTTCAGTGCCTTCCTGCAGGGCTCTGGTGTACAGCGGGACCCTGGTGCACAGTGAACGCTCTAACAGATCTGTTTCGTCCTACCAGTTGCAGGACCTGCCGCCCTGGGCAGCGGTCAGCCTTCGCTCCCTGCGAGCGTCCCCCAGCCAAAAGCAGCACCTCAGCAGACGCCGGTGCAGCCGCAGAGCAAGCAGGCGCCGGCTCCGCAGCAGGCCTCGCAGGCGCAGTCCCAGGTCCCTTCTACTCAGCCACAAGCCACACCTCAGCATCAACAGCAGCTTTTCTTGAAACAGCAGCTACTGCAGCAGCAGCAACAGGCTGCATATTACCAGCAGCAGCAGATAATGCAAGCTCAGCAGGTGAGCGGGGCAGTGTTTGTTGCGTGTTTCCTACCAGGCTGCGTGCGCCAGAGGCCTTCAAGGCCTGATCTTTGCATTTGTAGCAAGTTCTCTGTGCATTGGGATAGGTGCAGTTTTCAGGTGTTTCCCTAACGATGTAGCATCTCCAGTTCTCTAGCAAGATTTTTTGCTACCCAAAAGGCTGGTATTTTTAACTGTCTAAGTGGAAGGCCTTGAGATGTGCTTGTGAGGTGCAAACATAAAAGCAGCAGTGCTGGTTAAGATTTTACAGCTCAAAGCCTTTAAAGGTCTTGAGGTCGATGCTTAACTGATGAGCAGAGGGGTGGAAATTCTCTTCTGCTCTCCTTGTGAGGCAAGAAACCTGGCATGCCTTTGTGTTAAGGGTAAGATTCAGGTCTGTTTTCTGTGGTAGACTGATGACAGGGAGGCCTGTGAAAACATCACGTGCTAGACGAGATGTGTGTCAATGACAGACTTGCATGCTGAACTGAGGTGTTTATAGCAGCCCACGTTGCTGCTAATGCATATTTTAGCAGTGGAGGCAGAGGAGTAGTGAATCCTTCTATCCTGGGGAAAGGAAGGCCTTTGTTCAGAATAAATAAAAACAGAGAAAGGAGTTTTGGACCACAGGATTCTGTGTCCTGGTAGCCCAGTACGGGCAGGTTTAGCACAGAAAGAAAGGATCTAACGCTAGACCAGCAGGCCGTTTTCCACTGCTCCTTTGCAGATGGTCTCCAAGCCATCGCAGCCTGTTACTGCTTTGCCACTTGTGCTGGCTATAACCAGCCTCGTGGCTGGCCCCGAGTTCTGGTTGTGGTACCGCAGTTCCCAGCCACGCAGCAGGCAGCTCAACAACTGGTTGTGTCCCAGTTCCCAGTGATGCAGCAAGGAGCGCCGGCGCAGCAGCAGCTGATGCAGAACTACTACCAGCAGCAGCAGATGATGGCCCAGCAGGCAGCAATGCAGCAGAAGACAGCAGTAGCAGCAGCTCAGCAGAAGCAGCAGGCCCCAGCACCGCCACAGCCCCAGGCCCAGCAGGGTGTAGCCCAGCCAGCACCTCCGCAGGAGCAAGCGGTAAGAGCCTTGCAGGAAGGAGTGGGGCAGCGGGGTGAGGAATACTGGCACACGCTCCCCTGCCAGGACCTGTAGGCAAACTACCGCCTAGCATGGCGGAGACGCACTCTGGACCTGTAGAAAGAATATGGTTAGGTTTCTTAATGCAGCATCTCTCTCTACCCCTCCCCTGCCACACTCCCTTAGAGGACTTGTGACAAACTCATCAAAAGTCATTCGTGCTTGAAACATCAAGATGGGCATGAGGCACCCGAACTTCTCGTTTGGAAACCATTCATCTGGTATTCAGAGCTCTGGTGCAAAGGCAGGTGCAAGGCAGCCTGCCCAGTTGTTTCTGGAGTTGGGGTTGCTTTTTAACTCGTTCTGAGTACTCTGGAGAGGAGGGCTTTTCAAGGCACCATATCTCTTAAAAATCAACAAATAAATTGTATGCTTTACTGAGTGTCTGAACGTGCACCCAAAATAAGTGCTTTTTATTTAGAGGAAAGTATGCCCGTCTGCAACATGGAAGTAGCCAGCTGTCTGCCGTGTTAAAGGCAGGGGAGCAGTGCCAGAGGGCAGGATCCCCACTGCCCAAGTGTCTCTGCAGTGCAAGTGAGAAGCTGTTTTTTGCCTTTATTACTGCTCAATCCCATCTGCTCTTGCTTGTTTTCTGGAGCGCAGAGGGATGTCCCTCCCTCCAGTTGTGTTTTGCAAAGCAAGTGTGTCGCCTACAGACACCAGGCAAGAGGAAGTTGTTCGTTGTTTTGCTGTACCTGGCTGCACATATGCAAAGCAAACAGTGTGTGATAACAGACTGGTTCAGCTACGCTATATTTGAGCCCAGGCTAAGGGCCAGTTGGTGCTTGGTTGTTCATGAGGTGCCAGTCACTGAGGACTGAATTACTCTTTCAGGCCTGCTTTCTTTGAATTGACCTCAGGAATTAGTTTGGCTAATGAAGTTCATAAGCCAATGACCTGCGTGATGCTGTGGAAACAGTTTGTCTTGATCTTTCCCTGATGCCGATGTCTCAGGGCTCTGTCATTCACCCTTGTGCTTTTCTGTTCATCTTCAGCACCGAGCTGGTGGTTAGGGTAGGTGATGAGCTTGGAGCTTTTTTTTGTTCCTGGTCTTGTTATGGATTTGCTAAAGGACCTGGGGCAAGTCAGTTTGTTGAAACCGGTGGGAGTTTTCAGGTTTTGGATGAGGCACACGTTATTACCCTGCTCCTTTTAGAGGAGGAATGCCTGAAACGTATTATTAAAGTGCCTCTCTGAAGAACTTTGCTCTGATTCACTTGCACAAAAACATTCCTAACTTTATTAAATCAGCTGGACTGAAAATTAGCCCCATCTCCTGAAGGCTAATCAGAATTGACACATGCAGAGACTTTTCCGCTCCTGGCAGCAATCGGGAGGGGAAAAGCAGTAGTCGACTCATTTTAAAAACAAGTAATGAAGCGTTGTCTCTTCAGAGCATGCTCTCTGAGCAGAAGATACCAAGCCAGGCCCTGTCAAAACCTTTTCATATTGCAGGACTTCAGGTTAATAAGCTCTGCATCCGTTTTTGTGGAGGTTTCAGCACAGCCCTTTTATTCCTCAGCACCGAATGTACCATTCTGCAGTGACCTACATAGCGAGGTGCAAGGTGGGTGCATCAGAAGCAGTCAGGTCAGCTTGCTTTTCAGCAGGGTGGAAAGCAAAGCAGCTGACCTCTTGTTTGCCTTGCCCAGCTGTGGTTACACATCACACTGGGGATATAACCTTTTTCCGATCCCCCTCCTAGGCGGTCCCGAGTCTTCCAGCTCTCTTTCCTGGGCGAAAATGGCCTGGGATGATACTGAGCAGGGAACAGAGGCAGGATAGAAGTGTTCAGGCAGTGGAGATGGAGCGCGCAGCTTTCTGCTCTTAGCATTCTGGTTGTTCCAGTTATCACTTGGATTTAAAAAGGATTATGACATCCCATTGACTGATAAATGTATTTTTTTTTTTAATCACATCAACCCCAAGTGATGCTGTTGTTTAACACTAGAAAATAGTATCTTGAGTATCTATGGGTATGTCTGTGAATTCAACGAAGACTGAGTTGTTGAGGGAGAATAAAATCGATTTGAGAAGTACCTTGATGTTCCTGAAAGGTTTGTAGTTGGGCTCTCTTGGCACATGCTTAAACCAAAAATGCTTTCCCCCCCCCCAAGCTTTGAAATGACAACTCTTTCTCCTATAGTCCTTTTTCCCTATGAAATTAAGTTCCCTGTTTTGCTTGGTCTTCTTTTCCTTAGCTGAGCTGTGTATGTGTCACTGTAGAAAGAAATGAGAGAACCAGCACCACCCCATGGAAATGCCATCTCTGCTCCTTAACCTGTTACGGGTTTTTTTATTGGGTGGGTATGGGTAGGGTGTCTGCCTCCCTCCCTGTCCACCCCCCTCCCCGCCCTTCTTGGGACTGCAGAAGAGGAGGCTGTGGGGTTTGTTGCTGCTTAACAGATCTGTTTGTTTAGCTGATGTGTCTTCCTGGTCAGAAGCCTGCCTTTTGCTGGGCTAAGCCATCGCGTACCAGCAGGAACAGTAGACTTTCTACTGAACTTCCTGTTGGTCAGGTTTGACTGCCCTGGCTCACGCTGCTTGGGGTTGTGACCTCTTGGTTTGCAGAGTATAGGGCTAAGTTCTAGCCTGTGATCTTTGGGAGCTGGGTTCTGCTCCTACATCTGCTGACAGTAGGGCTGTGCTATGGTTACATGGACAACGTGAAGCGACTGCCGATTGAATTCTCAAGGGCTTTCCGTTTTCTCGCCTCTGGAGAAAGCAAAGCCCAAACTCCTGCACTAGATTTCTGTGGAAGCCCTGTACCCCACTAGGGATTTGACCTCAATGACCCAGCGGCCACCGGAAGAGGCGCTGCTCTTCAGCTTGCTGCAATCCGTGTGTCCGTATGACAGAATCCCTGCATGCTCTAATCTGTTTTCTTTTTTAGTGCTGCGCTGACTCTCAACCTTTACCCTTGAGCAAGTTGCTGAGACCAGTTGGCCTTAAAAAAACAAAAAACAAACAAAAAACAAAACAAAAAAACCCATTAATAGAAGCATTGCCTCCAGCCCCCACCATAGAAAGGGGAGATTGTTTCCATTTCCGCAATTGTAGTAATGCGAAAATACTCTAGATCAGTGACTCTCTAATTTTTTCTCCAGGCTATCCTTGATCTGCGACTCTGAGATCAGTTCCCCAGATCGTAGCCGTTCTTTCAGCGTGGCTGTTGTTCACCAACAAGGACCTACCATTTTGCTTTTTCTCCTAGATGCAGGCGCAAATAAGGCAACAGCAAAAACCTCAAACCACACCCCCCGCAGCTGTGCAGGGGCAGAAGCTGGGCTCTCTCACCCCTCCGTCATCGCCCAAGACGCAGCGTGCAGGACACAGGAGGATTCTGAGCGATGTGACTCACAGTGCTGTTTTTGGGGTTCCAGCCAGCAAGTCTACCCAGCTCCTGCAGGCAGCTGCTGCTGAAGCCAGTCTCAACAAGTCCAAGTAGGTGGCTGTTTGCTTGATGGCAAAGGGTGCGGAGGGAAGGGGTAGATAAAACTTTTTGGATGCTTCCTATGCCGAGCTCTGAGGCGAAGGTCGGCAGCAAACTGGTGTAAGTGAGCCTTTGTCTCCCTATGACCGCAGTTTGGGGCTTGGCAGGAAGTAGCTGGAAGCTGCCCAAGGGCAGAAGTCGTCCTGAGTGTTTCTGCTCTTCCAAAATATTAAGCAAACTGAGCTCCCCTAATGTGCCGGTCAAGTGCCGGTCTTATTTCAGCTGTTCCACCAGCAGCCCTGGTGCCTGCTTCGTGCTTGCTGCGTAGCACCAGTTCTTTCTCAGGAGAACTTGCTACGTCATGTTTATAGTGTCTACAGGCAAGAATCCTCCGCATAGACATTGCATAAAATTGTTTCAAATGGGATGTTTACTAAACTAAATTCCTGGCATCAGCAGGATGCTCAGGCACGATTACGAGCAGATAAGGCTAGCTGGTCCCAGCCTTTTGGGTGTGCGAAGTACAACAACTTGGGCTAAGTGTTTTAAGAAGGAAGTGATTATAATGCAGTTCATAGTTACTGGTGACTCTTTTGTTGGGGATGATCATGTCCAGGTCTGCTTCCACTACACCCTCGGGTTCCCCAAGGACCTCACAGCAGAACGTGTATAACCCGCCCGATGTCTCCACGTGGAATCCGTTTGATGATGACAACTTCTCCAAGCTCACAGCTGAGGAGCTGCTGAACAAGGACTTTGCAAAGCTGGGTGATGGTAGGTTCATGGAGAGGGTTTAATACCAGCCTGCTATCAAAGAAGAAGGGGGTGTGGAATGATGATGCTGGGTGCTGCCATGCTGTCATGGTCAACTGTGCCTGTAAGAGCTAAATCCTTCCAGTCTCCCCTTTTCTCTGTCCCTGCCCTCCTTGCTGAGAGACTGCAATTAAATGAGCAGTATCCTCAAAGGGAGTGGTATTCATTGCTTTTAAGGTGGCCCTGATCAGCTTGTTGAAGCAGAGTTTAAGCTGTAGCTTCTACATCTGCAACTTCTACAAATTATGATTTGCAGGGAGGGACATAAGTCATGTCCTGAGATAGTGCCCTAAAAGTATAGGTAAGTAAACAACCTTCAGAATGGAAGCCTCTCCCCTAAATCTGCACCTGATCTTTCAGGGAAAGCTCCGGAAAAGACGGGCAGTTCCACAGAGAACCTGATTCCAGGTTTCCAGCCAGCTTCAGCCGCACCCCAGGCAGATGCGTTTGGCTCTTCCTTCACCGCTGGATCAGGTGAGTTTGTGAGTGTATCTTAGAGGGCTATGTCCTCAACAAGCACAGCAGGCAAGAAGTGACTCTTGTCATAGCCTTTTTGGAAGGAAGATAAAACTGATACAAACTCCAAATTGACTTGTAAACGGTGAAGGCAAGAAGTTTTGTACTGGCTGTGGAGCCTGGCTTCCACAGACCAAAAGTCCTTGGCTGGTATAAGGAACTTTATTGCAGACGCCTCTATGTATGTTTGTACGTGTGTGTGTGTGTGTGTGACCCTGTCTGGTCTCTCCTTTGGCACCTGGGTACCGAGGTTCTACCCTAACCGGCCCCTTCTGTGCTGAAAAATCTGAGTGCTGCTGCTTGTTTGTAGTTCTTCAGCATCAGGGGTTCTCACTGAATGCAGTGAAGACCTGGAAAACTGCCAGCAGCAGCCCTAAGTGTAAATAATCCTCTCCCCATCTTAGGCAGCCATTCTTACCAGTGAAAACTGCAACTGTCTGGCGATGCTTCCTCATTAAGCATATCAACCCTTGTAGAGAGGCATCCTGGGAAGAGACTGAAGAAGCCTTTTGCGAGGCAAGAAGTGACAAATCCATTTACGCTTATTTCTATTTATAATAGGAGATTTAGAGGAGCTTATAACTGAGCTTGGTATTGTTGGCTCTTACCTGAGAGTTAAGCAGATGAAATAGATGATGCAAGAGTTCTCTAGGGAGTTACTTTGTGACTTTGTCCAGCTGTTCAGTGCTGTGTGAACTGTTTATGTTGTTCAATCGGCTGTTAGGAGAGATGGTGAGCAGCAGCAGCTCCAGATTCAGCCGCTGTAAGGTGGCTGCTGTGAAGCCTGAGAAGTGTCCATACATTCTGGACTTTCTGCACACTGTAGCAGGTTCAGTTCTTTTAGTTGTTGTCTTTAAGACTTGCTCCTTGACTCTCTTGCCCTGAGGTCTGGGCTATTTAGAAAGGTGCCTCAAATTCTCTCAGTTGTAGCACTGGGACGGGTGTTTCTAGCCCTTTTCCTTTTCTTTTTTGCTTAGATATGAGCTACAGGTATAGTTCTAAGCCCGTCTGGTGCAAGAGGCCATACGTTTCACATACATTTCATTTTGGATGGTCTCTCCCCCCCCTCCTCCCCCCAAGTGTGGAGGCTGACCTGCTGTCTGTCCTTTTTCAAGGCATTTGACCTTTTGTGCTGCTGTAAAATATAATAATGGTACTTCCCTTTCAAGGGATGTTTTGAGATCTATGGGTTAAAGATTGCGTTGGAGAGCTGCGTGGGTTTCTGTCTCTTTCCCTAGTGGTGCAAGCTTGTCCCAAGTGTGCGTGTGTGGTGTTCTTCCCAGGCCATGGCTTGAACTCTTTAATATTGAGCAGTGTCTCAGTGCTGATTTTTTCTGCTTGATGTTTTCTGCTCTTCTCTCTTTTGTTTCACTCTGCCCTATCTCTTCCTGGTTATCCAGCTGAAAAAACTAAAGACATTCTGAGTTTGGACACTAGCCCTCCTCTTCTGACTGTGCCTGATCCTTTCATTCCTCTCCCATTATCCGACGCACCAGGTAACTGAAACTGAGGTTTATGGGTGCGGGGGGTGAGGGGATTGTTTTGTGTTCTTAATCTTCCAGTTTTATCTCTAGGCACACCTGAAATCCTGGGCCCTTGTCAATAGTGCTAGGCACTGGCAGGCTCTGCGTAGTGGTGCAAACAGCTCCAAGCACAAAAGAGCTCTTAGCTCTCATGGCAGCCCTTTGAGTTATCAGGTTGTCTCTAATGCTAATAATACTGATGTCTTTAAAGGTACAGTATTCAAAGCTAAAAATAATAACTGGATAATTATCTGCACTCACCTAAGCCACTTCCAAATTGGCTTCCAGCTTTGAAATTGTAGTTTCCGTTGTTGCTGCTAATCTTTCTTTCCCATAAGAGTCAGTGTTTCTTTTGGCTTCCTAGCTCTGTTGCAAATCTATGCTTCATGTGAAGCAAAAGTTACATGTAACCTTTTTCTGATTTGGCAAAATTTCTTCTCGCAGTTGGTAGTTTTTTCCGTTTATTTTGCAGTGCTACTTAAATGTCTCTTCCGTGTGCGCGTTTCTGACTGCAGCAGCCAGCACTTTTTAGCACAAGATTATGTAAGTGCTTAGGAGCTTATTTGCACATCAGTGGGATTTGGAATATGGGCATGTTTTATCTTGGAGTTTCTCTAAGCCCTGTGGTGAACGTGTGTGTGACAGGTTCCTTCATGTTAGCCCCAGAAGACAAGTGTCTCGCCTTTGTCCTCTGTTCAAGCTGTGGAGTCACTGGCAGTTTGACTATAGAGGACCTAAACTGCAAGCCCATGTGCTCATAAAGAGAGCATCTGTCCAGGGAAAGTTTAGCAATTCAGGAAAAAGAAAAGTCTAATCTTTTTTCCAGAGTTGTGTGGAACTTCCTCCGTTCTGATTGAGGCTCAAAGAGCTTGAGAAATGTGTTACAGGTGGAAAGAGATTTCACGCAAAGGTTGCAGTTGGGGAAATTCTGGCTGCACACACTTTGTTATGAGACGGAACTTACTGACAGTCTTTCTCCCCTGCGCGAGCGCTCTGCAGGAGCTGACCTGTGCAGGCATAATTTGATAAGGACCTAAAGGAGGTAGATCATTCTGCGCTGTTTTTTTCCCCTGAGTGCTGTTGGAAGCACTGACTTTTCTAGCTCGGAAGTCTGCCAGCCCAGACTACTGTCAGTTCTCTGCCAGTGTGCTCAACACAAATGGTTACACACTGAGCCAGTTGTTTTTCTTATTGCCTGTTGAATTTTAATACAGCACAGCCATAGTAAGGAGCGGTGACAGCCTTAGCTGCAGAAGCTCTGAGATTCTTCATAGCACAGAAATCACTGCGGAGAAATGGCCTTTCACGCCTGCCCTTGGGTACAAATAATCGGAGTAGCAGTTGTCCGCAGTTGTGGTGGTGCTAAGTTGCTCATCCCGCAGATCTGCCCCGGACTGGTGGTGTACCTTTACAGGCAGGTGCTAAACCTTCTTTTGCTAATCTCATTGCCTGCATGTGGCTGGTCCTATTAAGGTCTGTGGATCTGCTTCTATGTGGGCAAAGTTGGGGGCAAGGGCATCCACAGCATCTGCTTTTGTCGGTTCCCTGCAGATGCCTGCAGTGATGGCCCTCTGATTTTATTTATTTATTTATCCTATAAAATCTGATCAGGCCAGAGGCTCATGAATGTTTCCAAGGGCTAGAGCTACAGGCTTATCCTTGGTTTTGAAAAGTGAGAGGGGTTGTCTGTGCTTATAGAGTCAACAGCCAAGATGATAATCCTGGATTTGGATTTTTGATCTGTGTGTGTCTGTCATGCAGAACAGAGTCCTCTTTGTTCTTTTGTGTCTGCGTTACCTGCGCTGTGTGCCTGGCACTGAAACATCCCCGCAGCCGGCAGAGAGGACTCGGACGCAAGGCGTGAGCTGAATTGTGTGTGAAAGGTGTTCTTTTAACTGTGCCCCTTGGGTCAGCAGAGCTGGCATTGACTTAGGCCTCCTAGCATATAGCGTCTCTGATTGCATGTTTCCAGACTACCTTAGTTTTTTGCTGAAACCCTGCGCTGTGTGCCTGGCACTGAAACATCCCCGCAGCCGGCAGAGAGGACTCGGACGCAAGGCGTGAGCTGAATTGTGTGTGAAAGGTGTTCTTTTAACTGTGCCCCTTGGGTCAGCAGAGCTGGCATTGACTTAGGCCTCCTAGCATATAGCGTCTCTGATTGCATGTTTCCAGACTACCTTAGTTTTTTGCTGAAACAGCTGAATTAAAATCCACGTGTCTATATATGGGAGAGAATTGAGGCTGTTTTGTTATTGTAGGGGTGGCTATAGATGCCTGCATTATGCATCTGAAGATTTTTTTTTTTTTTTTTTTTATTCAAGACTTTGAGTGGGGATAGTCCTTTCAGGAGTAAAAGCATGAGCCTGTACCCCTTGGTTACAAGAGCAGTTCTGTTCAGTGAGGCTTTTGCTACAGGCATGACTGAAGCTTTTATTTGGTATTTTCCTTATTTGCCGTACAGAGCCAGTTTTGTCTGGGCTCTGTGCTCTAAACCTGTGACAGTTGAGGGTCTGGCTGGGAGCTACGCTTCTTTATTTATTTATTTATTTTTTTGGCTTGAGCCACAAATGTGCTGTCTGCTGGCCCCTGAGGGTGCAGGTGGCCTCACTTGAATGCTGGCTGGAGACCACCTTGTGCCTTCCCACCCTTCCTCTGCATGCTTACCACAGTACAGATAGCCATGGGATGCATCCCCAGACGGCCTAAATATGTTCATGTGGAGGAGCACTCTTCCAGGGGAGCACAGCCAACAGATCCTGCTTTAAGTATGACTGTTCACATCTAGATTTAGCAAGATCACGTTCTCAGCTCTGTGTAGTACAGCAAAGACAAACCTTGGACACTAGTTTCTAGCCGACTGCGCTATTTCTGCGGATCGTGGTGTTGGAAATGTGTGACCTCCTAGAGGAGGTCGTGTTTTTACTTGCTTAATTTGTTATAGATAACCCCTTAAGGGTGGTCCTAGAGAACAGGTGACATGGTTTCTAATAGAAGGCAGTGATATTAACTCTGAACGATAATCAAGTGGAAGTAGGATGGGTTTTGGTACGTTCTTCCCTCTTAGTATGTTCCAGCTGCACACAGTGGCTGCAATGGCTAATGGAAATGTAACTGGTAAGAGGAGCTGGCAAGAAAGGTGTAAAAGTATGGCAAAATGTCCCTTAAAATAAGGGAAAATTAAATATTCATGCTAAAAACGTTTTTTCTTTGCGCCTGTGTAGGAAAATGAGCCGAGTTCTTAATAAGCTTATTGCAGGCTTCACTGCTGATTGATCCTAATGGAGTATTTGATCAGAATGTTAATTTTTCTGCTGCGTGTGGCTACTTAATATCCATCAGTATAAGTTCAGCTCACGCTATTATGGGAAGCGAAATTTTGCATAGGGTATTCTGGAGGCCTTAAATTAAACTGAGTTATGAACCTTCAGGGCCGATCTCTTTTTGCCTTTAAGGCTTCCCCTCTGTGAATAGATCTAAGTGTAGATTTTTCATGCCCTGTATGTATGGGGCTTCTGTGTCTTCCGACTTCATTTCCATTGGTATGAACGGGCTTTGGCCCTAGCCCTGACAACCTGCTTTCCAGAAGTATTTAATCACCGGTTTGGCCCAAAGTATGTGAATATTTCTGCTCCTAGCCCATGTCTGTTGTTAACTTCCCAAACTGAAAGCGCTGAAGTGCTGTGTTAACCCACGCTCATCGATCATCCAATGTTAGGGTGCATTTAAAACTTTTCCTGATGCTTTTCACTCTAGAAACATCTGCTTAGATGAACAAGTTCTTGAATATCTGACAGGTTGGCCCAGTGAAATGCCCTATGAAATATTGCCAGAAATATTCCTTTTCAATTTGTTGAGTGTTTGTGGCTTTCTCCCTTTCTCCCATCGCTTCCAGATGATTTTTCTTCTCTAGGTGCCCTGTGCTATCAACAGTCCTGGCTTATTCCATCTCCTTTCTGCAGAAGTGGATGGAGATGAGGTGGTGGGTGTAGGCCCTTGGCAGAGCAGGTGGAAAAAGTTCTTGAGCGACAGCGCTGAGGTGTGTGAGTTGAGAGGGGGCTCTGCTTCCTCCTCACCCCCCCCCCCATTGCAAACTCCCCCGTGCTGCGGACCGCACCACACAGATTTACTTGTGGCCTGAGTCTGCATTCACGCAAGGTGGTTCTGGCAGCTTCTCTGCAACAGTACCTGGCAAAATATTGTCTCTGCGCAATGAGCCAATCGTTCATTCCCTGTCCTTGTTCAAAGGAGTCGTTCTTTACGTGTGTACACAACTGTTTATTCCCTGCAGTAATTCAACATCTTAGCTACAGTTGAGAGGCGAGTGTGTCTTTGGTGTAACTAGTTATTTGTAACACCCAGCCGCCCCTGTGACAGTAACGGCTCATTGTCTTTGCCATAATGGAAAGTTCCCCGTCCTGCTGAGCTAAATAAACATGCAGACAGTAGCTGGCGAAGGAAACTTGGCCAAGAAAGCATACGTGTGCCATCTGGGCACATACTGGATTCTCATTTTTTGATGAAAAGGCAAACAGCGTTACTTATTAAAGAGTCGTTGTCACATTGGAGTTCTCTAAGGCTTTTAAGTAGCGCTTTATGGGTGATTTTTGCCTTTTTGTTTCCTTCAGAGGCCCATAGACTTCTGCATTTTTACATGTTAGTAAACCTGAAAGGATGCTTATCAGGACTAAGGAAGTACACAACTTGCAGTGCAATTTCAAAATAAACAGTATGTGTCCGCAGCCTTGGCACGTTTCTGGTGCCAGCCATCAGAAATGTATGGGCCTGGCATCTGTTCTTGCTGAATGCGTAATTGACTTGAAGAGATGAGAGGTTTTAAGCAAAACTAGATTTATTTCTTTTCTTTCCTTGTTGTCTCCTAATATGTGGCCTTCAGGAACTGAATTTCCAAACTTTCTCCTATCTCTTTCAAGCTTTCTCACTGCAAGAATGCAGTGCTCCGAACTGGAGGTGAA